CATTGCATGACACAGGTGCACTTACCTACATGCAGGCAATACACATATACACATAAAATAATAAAAATAATAATTTTTTTTAAAAAAGGTTTTTGTTTGAGACAGGGTATCCCTACAAAGGCCAGGCTAGCCTAGAAAACCCTATATAGTCCACAGGCCAATCTCAAACTCAGTGATCCTCTTACCTCAGCTACCCAAGTGCTGGGATTACATGCATTAGCTACCATGCCTAGCTTTAATCATTTTAAATCTTAGCTTCAGTATTTCAAGACACTAAGAACCAAACATAGCTTTTTAAAATCAGGAACTGGACCCCTTTGAGGCTCTGTATAGAGGCATGTGGAGAACTCCCCTTCCTATCTGGTTCACTGCAGAGACTTACTCCTGGTGACCTACTGCTTTGGTCCAAGTCTGTGGTTGCTATAGTGCTGTCATCTTCTAATCCCAGTTCAATTCAATCCTATTACGGTGCTGTTGCCTGGTCACCCTCCCCTATCAAATCTGATTAACTCATCACATCAACACTGAAGGGGCGCTAAGTAACAATCCAATTATACTAACCTTGAAGGATTTTCTCCTTGTTAAATCTTGTTTCTCCACTAGAATAAAAAAAGAGAACACTGTTACCAAATTATTTTTGAGGAGTAAAGATACTCCTAATGAAGCTGTGAATCGTGTACTCCATCTCTAAATATTTCATTCCAACTATTATTTACAATCATCTCTTCCAAATGATGAGCTCAAAATTAAGACACCCCCCAAATCAAATGGATATGGACCAGGAAATCAATGTTAAACAAGTTGCTGGAAAGACTCTTAAAAATATAGACATTCGGACATTATTTTCATTAAGTAGCATTGTTAAAATAAGCGTATCGATCAGAACTACTTTCAAGGCAGCAAAACTAAATGGGAAAGCCAATCTGTTGGTTTCTGCCCTGAATGTGCATGTGACAGGGCATCTAAGTGGGAGGTGAGGGAAGCCCTTAGCACCCTGCCCTGACCGAAGTCCTAGATCTTATGTCACACTGAGGCTAGAGGGAGAAGATGAGAAGGAGCCATACAGGCAAGACTAGAGGACAGGTGAGATTAGTATAAAAGCCACCAAGTGTGCCTAGGAGGATGGCTCAGGAGGTACAGGGCTTCTCACACAAGCACAAGGACTTGGGTTGGGATCTCCAGCGCCTAGGTAAAGGGCTGGGTATCAGGGCTAGAGACATGGTTCAACGTTTAAGAGCCCTGGCTGCTCTTGTGGAGGACCTGGGCTCAGTTCCCAGCACCCACACGGAGGCTCACAATAGTTAGTAAGTCCAGTTGCAGGGGATTCAGTTTCCACTTCTGGCCTGTGTGGACAGTCTACAAATTCACTTACATACAGGCAAAACACTCAGACACATTAAATAAATAATAAGCAAATAAATAAATAAGCTGGGTATAGTGACATGCACCTGTAATCTCCTCACTCGGGAGGCAGAAACAGGAGGATCCCTGAGGCCTGCTGCCCTGCCAGCCTGACAAAATCCATAAGCTCAGGCTGAGTGAAAGACCCTGCCTCAAAATACAAGGTAGAAGCTGGGCATGGTGGTACACATCTTTAATACCAACACAGGCAGGTGGATCTGTGTCAGATTGGGGTAAGTCTGGTCTACATAGCGAGTTCCAGGTCAGCTGGGGAGACCTTGTCTCAAAAAAAATAAACAAAAAAAACCCCACTAAATATAAATTCAAACAAATGAACAAACAAAAGACAGGGAGTAATAAAGGACACCCAGTGTCAATCTCTGTCCTCTATGCACATACCCACATATACACTTCATACATGTGCACACACAAGCCACAAAAGTTATGAAAATGAAAGGCAGAATCAAGAATTCAAGGTGGGGTTACTGAGGGTATGGGGAAGAAATATGATCAAAGTCCATTATATGCATGTATAAAAATGTATTTTGTTCAATGCACAACGAATAAAAAGAACCCAAATAAAGTTTATTCTGACAGGGCTGGAGAGATGCTCAGCAGTTTAAGAGCATCGGCTGCTCTCGTAGAGGACACAGGTTCAGTTCCCAGCACCCACATCACAGCTAACAACCATCCATAACTCCAGCTCCAGAGGCTCCAACGCCCTCTTCTGACCTCTTCTGGTTTGCATACACATGGTGCACTTACATACATGTAGGGAAAACATTCATAAACAAATTTAAAAAATTGTTTTTTGAGCCTTAAACTCATGCCTAGAGATATGCATATAGCACTAGAACACTGGGCCATGCCTAGAATTATGCAAATGTCCAGCTTTTCTAGAAAATGCTAGTGTGGTGCTGTGTATGTTGGCACATGCCTATACTCCCAACAGGTAAGAGGCAGGAGTGTCAGGAGTTAAGGTCCTCTTCAGCTACATAGTGGAGCTGCACACCAGCCTAGGCTATATATAAGACCCTGTCTCAAAATACAGACAGACAACACACTAAAGTGGTTATCCCAATTTGCAAATTCTGGTGCCTGGACAATCCATCTCCCTTTGATTTCAATCTGCATTTCCTTGGCTATTAGAGAGAGTGAATGTTCCTTTTGCTCTAAGAGAAGTACTAGTTTCAATAACATCAGAAACTTTCCATGGGATCACTTTCCTCAGGAACTCCAGCAGACCTTCAGTAAAATCACAGCTAGACATGGTGGTGCACATCTGTAATTCCACCACTTGGGAGGCTGGAGAGTTCTGGGTCAGCCTGGGCTACACAGTGAAATGCTTGTCTCAAAAAGAAAGGGGTGTGTGTGTGTGTGTGTGTGTGTGTGTGTGTGTGTGTGTGTGTAAATCAGAAACTCCAGGGTCTGCCTGGAACCTTGTCCCTTGTTAACAAAAGCACTTGGCTTCAAGCTTCTGTTCAGAGCCCTTGACTTGAGAGGCACTGGAACTACCTGGCCGGCTTATGAAAACTAACTGCTAGACTTGACTGATGAGCCTCATTCTTTATAACCCAGCTCCACTAGGTAGTTTTCCTACCCTAGCACCACCCTCGCCCATTCTCCCATTTAAATCCCCAGTTCTGTGCTCTTATCCAGAGAGCCTATCCCCTGCGAACCCATTCCCTGCATGGGCACAGCCACTGGTAGGATCACTTTAAGATGCCCAATGTGTGACAAAAATCCTGAGAAAAAACAGAGCTCCAGCAAGTGGCCTCTGCTATGGCATCTGGAACTATTTCTCAACATTCTCTATCCTTTTATCCAGCAACCTTATTACTGGGGAAACCTGCATCTGCTCATATGTAAAAGAGTATCTGCTACAGTGCTATTTCTAATAGTGAACAACTGTAAATCACCCAGATGGCCACCAACTATGGCTAGGATGACCGTTTGCCAATGGCAACATTAACAGGTGGGCAGTGGGATACCTGCCTCTTGGAACTGACCCTATGTCCTCTAAAAGCACAGAGGCTGTATGGAAAGGGAATTGTCAGCAAGATACAAGACTAAAGGCAAGGCCTTGAATAATATTAGAATGCTACCTTTTTAGAAATGAGGGAAATGATAAATATTTGGATCCACACAAAGAAATAATGCAAGAATAATTAAAATTAAATTAAAATTAAAATTTTTTTAAGTATAATAAGCAGCTGTGTGGGAGTCTAAGCTGGAAGATCTCAAGCCCAAGGCCTGAGGCAACTTAGCAAAAACCTGTCTCAAAAACAAGAAGTAGAAGCTAAAGAAATGGCTCAGTGGTTAAGGACACTGGCTGCTCTTGCAGAAGACCTGTGTTCAAATCCCAGCACCCACATGGCGGCCAGGAACTCTCTGTAACTCCAGTCCTAGGGGATCCAATGCCCTCCTCTGGCCTCTGCCAGGCACTGCACCTGTGTACATACACACCTTTAATCTTGGCACTCAGGAGAGGTAGGTGGATCTCTGAGTTCTAAGCCATCCAGCTACATAGTGAGACCATGTCTTAAAACAAAATAAAAAAGTCTGGCATGATGATTCATTTTCTTCTACAAATAAGATCTTATCTTAAAAAAAAAGGCTGGGAATGGTGGCCTATATCTTCAATCCCAGCACTCAAGAGGCAAAGGCAGGCAGGTATCTGTGAGATCAAGGCCAGCTTGGTCTACTTAATGAGTCCAGATCAGTTGGGGGAACAGGAAGAACCTCTCAAAACAAAAACAAAAACAAAAACAAAAAACAAAAGCAACAGCAACAACAACAACCCAAAGCTAGGTGTGCTGGTACATGCCTATAATTGGAGGTAGAGGCGGGAGGATCAAGAGCTCAAGGTCATCATCCTCCGGTACGTAGTGTCTTTGAGGCCAGCCTGGGCTATATGAGATCCTGTCTTAAACTAAAGAAGCCAGGTGTCATGGTACAAGAAGGCAGGTAGATCTCTGTGAGACAGAGGCCAGCCCAGTCTATATAGCGAGTACCAGACCAGCTGGTCTCAAACAAAACAAAACAAAACAAAACAACAACAACAACAACAACAACAAAAACCAACCAACCCTGCTTTTATATAGAAGTAACATCCTCCTAATTTAACTCACAGCAAAAGCCGAAGATAGTATACATTTAAAATGAAGGATGAGGGGGGCTGGGGAGATGCTATACTTGGTAAAATGTTGACAAAGTCCCAACAATTGATTTGACAAAGGACTCAGATGAAAGTTAGAATACTGCCAAAATGTCACTGCCAAAAATGGAATCTGAGTGACTTGGTGGTTTTGCAAAGACACTGCCCCAGCATCTAATGATTCTTTCAAAAGAAGAAAACTAGATGTGATAAAGTTTCCAATTTAGCTGTAAATTGATCAAGATTAATGCAGAAATAACATTAACAGATCACTCTTGGGTGGAAAAGACCAAGCTGGGGTTGGAGAGATGGCTCAGTGGGTGGAGAGATGGCTCAGTGGGTTAAGAGCACTTGCTGAGCAAGCTTGAGGATCTGAGTTTGGATTCCAGCCCCAGCATGCACATAAAAAGCAAAGTGAGACGTATGTGTGTCTGTGCCTGTAACCCCAGTGCTGGGGATGGAAGAAAGTCAGGAAGACTTGCTGACATTCAGCTCCAGGTTCAGTGAGACTCTGTCTCAAGAGAATAAGGTGGAGAGTGACAGACCAGGTCACCGAAGTCCTCTAGTCTGCCCCCCACCACCGCCCACAGAGTTACCATTCCCTTTTAGTTTCTAGTGGGCAGTTTTGTCGTCAAGCCACTTTATAAATATTAAAGATAGGTATCCCAAAATAGAACTGCTTCCTCTAAACTTGCATATATATTTAGTTTTACAGCTTTTATCCGCTTTAACAAACGTTTCTATAAATCCTTGACGCAAGCGTTTTAAGTTAGTTTGGGGAGTGGGAAAGGCTAAGAGTTCTGACTAGGAATCCATTTCCCTTAAGCAGAGTTTGGCTTGTGACAGCAGCAGAGAAGGTAGACGCTGCAGAAAGGTCAGAGGGATATATTCTAAAGGAGTCAGGAAGAACCAAACTCATTTTCAAACTCTGCAGGGTGATCTGTTTCTAAAACAACACCCAGCTCCACAGGAATCCAAATGCTTATGCCAAGAAATGAAGTCTCATGACAAGCCATTTACAGGGCCCAGGCACCAGGCAAAACAGGCACCGTCAGCACCCTCCTCTTTGCTTAAAGGGTAGTTTGTTAGTTCAGATTTACATATTGTAGCATTTCTTTAGGATAAAAATATTCTAAAGAATACTACATATGTTATATTAGAATATTATATTAACAGAAAGCTTAATATATAAATAGAAAGTTTAATTGCCTTGTTACATCCTTTTAAAGGATTCAAATCCAACCACTCTCAGTTTGCCACAACAGAGTGACAAACCTTGGGAAATTAATACGCACTGGGGGTTTTTATAACACATTTACTTTGGTGTACAATTGGTAAAATGATAATAAAAATCCCAACAGATGATTTGATAAAGGACTCACCCCATGTTCAGTCATCAATGTGGCTTGATCCCAATTCCCTTAGACCAGTTAATTTTCACTAGATAGCTTGAGAGGAATAAAATATCTAAGATGCTGGGCATGATGCTTACTCCTGTAATCCTAGCACTAGGGACGCTGACCAGGAGGGGTCTCTCTGAGTCTGAGGCCAGCCTGGGCTACAGAGTGAGCCTATGTCCCAAAACCCAAAACAAGGGCTGGAGAGATGACTCAGCTGTTAAGAACACTTGATGCTCTTGCAAAGGACTCTGGTTCGGTTCCCAGCACCCACATGTTGGTTCGCTGAAAGTATCCTTAACTCCAGTTTCAGTGGATATGATGCCCTCTTCTGATCTCTACAGGCATCAGGCATGCATGGGTTACACTTACATATATGCAGGCAAAATACTCATACACATAAAATAAAATACATCTTAAAAAAAACAAACCAAAAAACTTGTAAGATACCCAATTCAAGAGCTATTTTTGTTCACATAAAAACTGTCCTGGCTGCCAACCTTCCCTATTTCATAAACATCATGGTACTAGAAGCTGCATATATCACTACCAAAATACCAAATTACTGATGATCTATTATTATTATTTTGCTTCCCTGAATCAATGATTAGTATTTGACAAATGTTAAGTAACTGTTGACAGGTAGACTAAACAAAAACAAATCAGTTCTCTTATTGATTTCTTCATGGAGTCAACATCTGTAATCCATAGAAGTAAATTAAATGATCTGAGCTTAGTGGCACACACCTTTAATCCCAGCACTCCAGAGGAAGAAGCAGGTGGATTTCTGAGTTCCAGGCCAGCCAACGCTACAGAATGAGACCCTGTCTTGAGAAAAAAGCAACAGCAAAAAAGCAAATTAAATTTATTCATATAAAAGTTTTAAGTTTTAGGGGCTAGAGAGATGCTCAGTGGTTAAGAGCACTGCCTGCTCTTGCAGAAGACCAGGGTTTGATTTCCAGCACCCACATGGTGGCTAACAACCATAACTCTAATTTCAGCAGATCCAATGCTCTCTTCTGACCTCTTCTGGCATTGCATGACACAGGTACATTTACATACATGCAGGCAAAACATTCAAACACATAAAATAAAAATAAAATATTTTTTTAAATTTAAAAGTTTTAAGAGCTGGTTAAAAATGCAAGTGAAATAGTTTACACATGGCTGAAAGTAAACACAAATAATATTTCACAGAATCAATGCCTTTGACATTGTTCTAGAAAGACAGTGATGCCCACCTCCCCGTGCTGGGGTTTGCAATGCTGTGTTGTCATGAGAAATTACAGTTCAATGACTATGAGAGACTTGGGACTGGAGAGATGGCTCAGCAGTAAGAGCACTGGCTGCTCTTGCAGAGGACTCCGGTTCAGTTCCCAGCACCCACATGGTGGCAAACAACTGCCCATAACTTCAGTTCCAGGGGATCTGACATCCTCTTCTGGCCTCTGCAAGCACTGCATGACATGGGTGCACTTATATACATGTAGGCAAACTCATACAAATAAAATAAGAATAAATAAAATTATTTTAAAAAAAAGACTTGACATCTGGAATCTAGCATGTTCTACTCCAAAAATGACTGATACACTGTGGTACCTCCACTTCAAAATATGATGAAGAAAGACAAAGCAGACAGCCACAGAATAAAAAATCCACAAAGGATTTGGTCAGACACAAGGAAACTGCTTTACAATTTTCTTGCACTATATGAAGAGATCCAGTTCTTCAACATCTTTACACACACACACCACAGTTTTTTTTTTGAGATAGGGTCTCCCTGTAGCCCCAGCTGATCTGGAACTCGCTATGTAGACCACGCTGGCCTCCATCTTACAAAGATCCACCTGCCTCTGCCTCCCAAGAGCTGGGATTAAAGGTGTACACCACAATGACCAGCTTCATATATATATATATATATATATATATATATATATATAATGATTTACTCTTATGTGTATGCATGTGTATGTGTACTTGTGTGATGATGCTGAGGCCAGAAGAGGCATTGGATCCCCTGGAGCTGGCATTACAGGGCAGTTGTGAGCTTCCAAACAGGGGTTCTGGGAAGCCAAACTCAGGTTCTCTGTGAGAACAGTATACACTTTGAACCACCGAGCCATCTCTCCAGCCCCAGAAAGCTATTCTATTTAGCTATGATGACTATCAGTCTAATTTGAAACCATTTCTGTTCCTGAATTCCCGGGCTTTTAGCTGTGACAACTCTGAAGGCAAAAAACAGAGCTGGGAAGGCTGTGACAGGAAAGCAGTTAACCACAGCCCTGCCTTATTTCAACACTTCTATTTTCCTGTGTCCGAAGAACAACAAAAAGAACTCTTATCACTCCTCACAATTGTATTAGAAGAATAAAAAGCAGCCTCAACGCTGGCTGGTGATATTCAAGTGATCTGCAAACACTAGGCTTTAAGGTAATAAAAGACAGTGGAAGCTGTTTTGGTTTAAATTCTACCTATCCAACTGCCACGTGCCTTTAAGTAAGTTACTTGGGGGGGGGTGGTCTCTGACTCCCTTTACTCACCTGTGAATTGCAGGTGTCAAAATTTGCATTTATACAGACATGGTCTATCAGGAAACAAAATGGGGATCACCTTGTTTTCTGGGGGGTTTCCCCAATCCACATTCTCTACAACTTTGAAGAAGCTTCCAGGCTTAAGACTGACATTGTGCTGCTGGGTCCACAAAGCACTCTCATGTGAAAAGAGGGCAATCGGGACTCCAGTTCCTTCTATTCTTCCAATGAAGTGGTACAACCTTAAGTAGGTGAAGAATCCTTCCAATGCATTCTAGAAGATTCAGAGTGGTGACAGAGAGGAACCAGATTTCCAATTTAATCATTAAAATTCTTGAAAATCCTAAAAAGCCTATTTCAAATGATGCCCAAAATTGTCTTCCTATAGAAGAACAAGGCAGAGGTGTTAGTTCAAGAAGGCTTCAATTAAAGGCTTGGCAAAGCTCAAAATCCCACCAGAGGAAGAGCTGAGTTTAATCCCTGCACTCAGAGGCAAAGGCAGGTGGACCGCTGTGAATCTGAGGCCAGCCTGGGCTAAACAGCAATTTCGGGACTGGCCAGGGCTACATGGTGAGACCCAGTCTCAAAGCAAACAAAACAAAATCTCAGAGCTCCTCTTATGAGCCCTATAAAAGCAGAAAAAGCTAACTCTGTCCCTTGACGCACAGAACTTACTCAAAGGCTGTTCTGATAAACGTCACCTACACAGGTGATAACCAACTGCAGTTTATTGGACCTGTCCTCCTAGAAATACAAGTTGTTCAATTCTCAGGTGTACTCCTTCCTCTCTGCTGACAGACACTTCGCCTTCCCCATTTAATCTTCATAGTAACCTGGTGAGATTAGAATCACTGCGGCCTCCATTTTGCATATCAGGACACAGGTCAGAAAGATTATCTGTCCTCAGAGGCCCGGAGCCCCAATTCCAACCAAGGTCTGCCTGCTTTGAAAACTCCCTTCGCTTATCCACACTGAATTCCCCTCCCATCACCACCCTGCTAACGTGCTGGGAAGGAAAAAGATAGGCGACCTAAAGACAGATTTAGCTTCCTGCAATCTGTTATTTGATAATATATATATATATTTATTCAGGGTGATGTGATCTACAGGGAGGAGAGTTCTGGCCCTCTTTCTCAGAACTGTAACCTTTGGAGAGGGAAGAGGTAAATCTCAAATATATCTCGTTGGGACTGAGTGCCCTAGCAAACCGGAGGAAACTAGAAGAAACAGTGGGGACAGAGAGAAAGGCAGTCAGGACCAGAGAGATGAGGTGCTGACCAGCAATTCTTCAAACACTTAGGATCCGGAGGAGCAAAAGGGTGCAGAGCTCGTGTCTTCACCAACTAGCTGGGAATCATCTGTAACTCCACGCTTGTCGGAGTGCGGACACTTAAGACCTGCCGCCCTCCCTCCCTCAGGTGGTTCGACTTAGAGGAAGAGGGTATGTGCGGGTGGGAAGGAGAGGACGCGAAGGAAAGCACTTGGAAGCCGACCCTCCCGGGGCTGGAGCACGCAGGGAACAGAAGGGACTTAGTCCAGGGAGCGCCGGGTACCCGGCTCCCGCAGTACTCACTGGCGGACGATGGTCATGGCGAAGCGCGGCATCTCGGCGAGGCCCGCCGGACTTAAAAGCCACTACCCCGACTGCACTGCACTGCCGGGCGCCTGCACTGCGGGGCAACCTGGCCTGCACCACTTCCGCCCGGCCGGCCGGCTCTGCAACCATTGGCCAAAGCGGCAGCCTGCGTCATCGCGGGAGGACCAATCGGAGTGGAGACAGGCGAGCTCTGAGGCCCGGCCCAGAACCGTGGCGCCTGCGCCCCTGCCCGCCGGCCTGTGATTGGCGCGCGGCAGGTGCGTGGGGCCCCATCCTAGGATAAGGCGCTAGGCTAACGTAACGCCCTGGGATCCCTGCCCCACCTGGCTGCTGTCACCCTGCGTAGATAAGGGCTGTGATTTATTGCTGCATGTGGTTTGAGGGTGGCATGCGAGCTTTAGTGTTATAGAGCCCTATTGCATCGCTGTTATTTTATTTATTAATAAATAATTTTTTTAAAGGTCTTAGTGGTTAACAGCCCTGGCTGCTCTTGGAGAGGACCAGGGTTCGAATCCCAACACCCACATGGTAGCTAACAACTGTCAGTAACTCCAGTTCCGGAAGCTCTGACGCCCTCTTTTGACTTCCACGAGCATTTCAACGGCACGGGTTCATGCAGTCAATAGACTCATACACATAAAGTAGAAATAATAAAATATTAAAAGTATTTTTATGTGCATGAGTGTTTTGCCCGCATGTACGTAAGTGCACCGTGTTGTGCAATGCCGACGGAGGCAAGAAGAGGGCGTTGGATCGGTTGGAACTGCAGTTACAGATTGTTGTTAGCCACCATGTTAGTGCTGGGAACCGATCCCAGGTCCTATTGCAAGGGCAGCCAGGATTCTTAATGGCTGAGTCATCTCTCCAGCTCGCTTGCCTTCTCTGCTGAGCTCCATCTTACCCAAGAATCCTATCAAGCCAGTTTATCACAGTCCTGCCATCAGTCATTCTGCTACCTTGCCCCCCTGAAATCTCCATTGATTCATGTAATATTGAGTTGAATTCAACTCCCATCCCTTCAGGGATTCCTGTAATGATCTTGGTCCCTATTGCGATGGTCTTGAATAAAGTCTTCCTTGGGGAAAATTAAAAATAGGTGAGTAAAAGGACCTTTAAGGCCTTGAAGAGACTCACGGATCTCTAGTCTTCAGCCATTGTTACTGGACTTAGGATCACAGCTTGTGTCCCAACAAAATCAATGGAAAGAGACAGATTCATAGTGCAAATTAGAAAAGGTTTTATGCCATGTGGCCACATTGGGAAGATGGACAAAGAGTTTGATGGACAACGCCCCCTCCATCTTTGGAGTCCTGGCTTGAGGGTAGGGTTTAAATAGAAAGCAAGAGATGTACTTAACTAAGCAGTGCATCCAAGATGTGGTCCCCTGCCACCACTGTCTCAGCTCCTAGTCCTTCAAGGTTAGTCTCCTTGGCAAGATATCTGATAAATTGGAAATATTTCTCCAGGAGATAAATTCCTCCTCTGCCAGATGTTTCTCCTCTGTATCCCTGATGGCTTTGGGCATTTCTTCTCCCAGCAGGAGATTCCTGGGGAGATTTAAACTTCTTGAGGTTCATTCTTCCAAAAGTCTGCTAGCACAAGTGTCCTTAGAATATATTGATTTCTGCTAGAAAGGCAGATCATACCATATGGTAGATAAATTGGGATGATAGTGTCACCAAACCTGGGGTCACAGCCTGTGCTCCAACAAGCTGGGTTCACCACCTATGCTCAATAAGCCAATTCACAAAGCCAAATTAATAGTAAAAAGTCAGGAAAAGGAGATTTAGTCAATGTGGCTAAATTGCATAGCGGGACAGAGATCCAGTAACCTATCCCTGCCCCCTCTCAAAAAAAAATGTCCATATTCCTAGATCTTCAGATGAGGAGAGGGTTTAAATGGAAGCTAAGAGACACGCAAAACTAAGCAGTCCAACTAAGGAGTGGTCCCCTGCCCACCAGGTCTCAGCTCCAAATCTTTCCTACAAGACCATCTGACAAGTTGTAAATCTTTTTTCCAGGAGACAAGTTCCTCTGGATGCAAGTTCTTCCTCTGGCTTCAACCTTTTATTCTTCCAGCAGGAGATTCCTAGGTAAATTTGATTTTTTTCAGATTCATTGTTTGAATAGTCTATAGCCAAAGAGAGGGGCACAAATATGGTAGTTGTTATAGCCAAAATGACCAGCATAAGTGTGGTGGTTCCCCCATAGGCTCCAAGTATTTGACTTCTTGGTCCCCAGTTGCTGGCACTGTTTGGGGAGAGTCATGGAGGTGTGGACATGCTGGAGAAAGCATGTCACTGGGGACTGACTTTGAGATTATATCTCCCTCATATCCAGTCTGATTCTCTCTGCATCTTGTGCCTGCTTGAAGATGTGAGCACTCAGTTTTCTGGTCCAGCTACCTCCTGCCATACCTCCCCTCCTTGATGGACTCTTATCCCTCTAGAAATGTAAACCAAATCAACTCTTCCTTCTGTAAGTAGCCTTAGGCCATGGTGTTTATTACTGCAACAGAAGGAAGTAACTGATACAGTATGTCTTTAGAAGTTATTCATTCCTGCCAGGCAGGATGATTGCAATAGCACCCAGGCCTGACACAGGTGAAACTTAATGTTGAATGGCGTTGCCTTCCATGGATTCTTAGCTAATCCTCACATTCAATATTGCATGTGTTGCAGTGAATCCCTGATTCTATCTTGGATTAGAGATGTGATTCATGAGATAGATTCAAAATCATTTCCCACGTACCAGTCATATTTGATCTTGCCTTGTAGCACTTTGGAGAGAGAAACAGCATGGAGAAGCTTTATCATTTTCACTGCAGAGGTGAGAACTGTGGCCTCAAGGGAAATTCAAGCAGTTTTTCTAAGCCCAGAAAGCTGTGGGCACAGAACTGGTTCAGAGGCCCTCAAACCTTCCATCCCAGTGGATCATCTGGGGGACCCTTTGAGTGCCAAACTAAACCTCCAGAGAAACTAAACCTGTGGGGGAAAGACCTAGGCACCCATGTGTTTGTAATCCTTATCTGTAGTGAGTCCTGAGAAGTAACTCCTGTAAGTCATGCTTTTCAAGTTTCAGCATGTACACAAATCACCCTGGAGAGTGTTGTTGAAATGCAGACTCAGACTAAGGAGGGATAATTCAGAGAACTGTAAAAGTGGGCCTAGATCACCATGGGATGTGTTTTGAATGTCTGAGTGAGTGATTCAGTCTAACAGATTCTTCCATAAACTTTCATTTAAAAAAAAAGGTAGTTATCTGTGGAGGCTCAAACAAAAAGAAAGCATGAAGAAAAATTATGAAATAGACTCAGGCCATGTGCTGGTTACAAACTTATTACAAACTAGAGACACCTGGGAAGAGGGACACTTAGTTGAATAATTAACTAAATCCAGCAGATTGGCCTGTGGGCACGTCTGTAGAGCATTTGCTTGATTGCTAATTAATGTGGCAGGGCCAGCCCATTGTGTGTCATACCATCCCTGGGCAGGTAGGCCTGGGCTGCACAAAAAAAGTAGCTGAGCAAACCATGGGAAGTAAGCTAGTACAAGTGTTTCTCCATGGTCTCTGCTTCAGTGCCTGTCTCCAGATTCCTGCCTTGAGCTCCTGCCTTGGCATCTCTCAATGATGGACTGTCACTTGGAAAAGTAAGATGAAACAAAACCTTTTTCTCCCCAAGTTGTTTTTGGTCATGGTGTTTATAACAGCAACAAAAAGCAAATGAGAACAGGCCATCAGAGGGCATGTAGACAGAAGTTATGAAGATAGAAACCTAAGTAATACATGACTAAGAATAGAGGAAAGGGTAGAGCTCATGGAAGAACAAAGTAGGAACATAAAGATTCAGATACAAGGCAGAGTGAGCTACTAATTATAGTAAATACCTTACAGGTTCTTGCTTTTACAGTAAAACCTCTTTCTCGTGTTAGAAATAAAATCTGAGGTCCAAGGACCCCACTTATACAACACAGAACACATACCGACAAAGTGAAAGTAACAGTAAGGCAGCTTTAACTTTTGCAAAAGGGCGTGTTGCACAGTCCTTTAGAGCTAGCAAGTACACCGGAAGTTTGATAGGTTTATCTTTAACACAAAAGTACTGTCTTTTTACCATTGACTGACCTCACAATGTTTCCCATTTGGCTAGTTTAAAAGAATATTCACAAAGGAAGGAGAAAGACAGTTGACTAAGAGGGGGAAGGGCTCCACAGCACCAGGTCATCAGGTTCAGGAATGCATCAGGGCCTTTTTGTAGATGTGTTGTAGAGTGTGTGTGGAAGGATTAAATGATTAGAATTCCTTGTCATAAACCAAAAATTTTACAGGGCTTGAAAGAAATAACCAATATTTAATGTTTCTTATACTATTACTTCCTTGTATAGTCACTATTACCCCAAGATAGGAGCTGTTGTTTCATTGTACAGGTGATAAATTACAGCACATAGAGATGAACTGATTTCCCATCCTGTAAGATGTCGGAACTGAGTTAAACATCAGGTAAATATGCTCCAAGATGCATCAAAACTGTAAACCAGGGGCTAGAGAAATGGCTTGGTGATAAAGAGCACTGGCTGCTCTTGCAAAGGACCTGGGTTTGGTTCCCAGCACCCACATGGCAGCTAACAACCATCTGTAACTCCAGTTCCAGAGGATCTGGCACTCTCTTCTGGCCCTTGAGGGCTCCTGTAAGCATGTGGTGCACATACATGCACTCAGGCACAAACAGCATTCACATAAAAATAAATAAATCTTTTTAGAGAACACACACAACAGAGAACATGCACTCAGGCACAAACAGCATTCACATAAAAATAAATAAATCTTTTTAAAAAATCATAAACCATGAAGTTAAAAACAGGATCTGATTTATTATTTCCCTGGCTCTTAACAAAATGTAAAGAACATGGCAGGTAAACCAAACCTGTCATGTGAATGGGGAATGTGTCCTGCACTCAGTTTGCAGAATGAATCATACCCTTTAAAAAAGCTGTGAAATTGCAAAACATTCACCAATATTATTTTTAAAATACTTATTATTTTTATATTTTACATGTGTGATTGTATTGACTGCATGTATGCAAGTGCATCTGTGTCACACAGTGGCCACAG